ACAATTCTATCATCTAAATTCTGTGCATTCTGTTTTTATATTCTCTATATTCTTACAGTCTACATATTCAGCCTTCTTATAAATGCATAAAATCTACTAAAACTTAAAACAATCTCTCTACCCTTTAATTTCAATTTTTCTATTCAGGTGATGTACATGTACTACTTATTGGGACACCGTTTAATGGAATTGCCGATTAGCGTTGATCGTAAAGAAGTAATCGCGGAGAACACTTATCTGTTAACACTGGACGGTGACATCGATTTCCAACCAGCCGCTGTGAAACTCTTAGTGGACTTGATGAAGAAGAACAAGAATCTCGGCGCGGCTTGTGGTCGTATTCATCCAGTCGGTTCAGGTAAGCTTAGAAATAAATCTGATTAGAATAAGAATAATCGTTCTGTTTTATATCAGGTCCGATGGTGTGGTATCAGATGTTCGAATATGCTATCGGTCACTGGCTGCAAAAGGCGACGGAACACATGATCGGTTGCGTGCTGTGTAGTCCTGGTTGTTTCTCCCTATTCAGAGGGAAAGCTTTGATGGACGACAACGTAATGAAGAAGTACACGACGAAATCCGAGGAGGCTAGACATTATGTTCAGTACGATCAGGGCGAAGATCGATGGCTTTGCACACTCCTCTTGCAACGCGGTTACAGAGTGAGTAAACAAGTTCTTTTGTACGTATTAGACACATAGTTCAATGAGTCATTGCATAGGAAATGACATCAGTTTTAATTACAATTTTTATTAACAATATAAAGATAGAATATTTATTATATAAACAGAAAACAACAATTAGTGAAGTAGTGTAGTAATCCTCTTTGATCTATTTGTCACAGGTGGAATATTCAGCTGCCAGTGACGCGTACACCCACGCACCCGAGGGTTTCAATGAATTTTACAATCAACGTCGCCGATGGGTACCCTCTACCATAGCCAATATCATGGACCTTTTGATGGACGCGAAACAAACAATAAAAATCAACGATAACATTTCCCTTCCATACATCTCTTATCAAATTTTGCTCATGGGTCAGTTGATTATTTTTCATGTTTCATTTATTTCTTCTTGCGATCTAATTTCAAATCACCTTTAGGCTCGATCGATATAACAATTTAAATCAGATTGTTTTTCGATAAACTTTATTGGACGTCGTAAATTCGGAAAGTTTAGTAGATCGTTGGAAGGATTTCTTCTCTCGTTACAGGCGGTACTATCTTGGGACCGGGCACGATTTTCCTCATGTTGGTGGGTGCGTTCGTGGCCGCCTTCAAAATCGACAACTGGACCAGTTTCTACTACAATATTATCCCGATCTTATTTTTCATGCTCATATGTTTTATATGTAAAGCAAACATACAGGTAAGCTGATTGTTCGAGTTGAAATCGTGGCAGGAATCATTTGTCGCTTCCGTCGTTCTAGCGAATTGTTTATTCTTCATTGTTCTCGCGTCCTCGTCTTCTAGCTTCTGTGCGCGCAGATACTATCGACAGGATACGCGTTGATAATGATGGCCGTGATCGTGGGCACGGCCCTCCAGCTCGGCGAGGACGGTATCGGTTCACCCTCGGCGATATTCTTGATAGCGTTATCCGGATCGTTCTTCATAGCGGCTTGCCTCCACCCGCAAGAGTTTTGGTGTATCGTCCCCGGGATTATATACCTTCTCTCCATCCCGTCCATGTACCTCCTCCTGATCCTCTACTCAATTATAAACTTGAACGTCGTCACCTGGGGGACGCGTGAGGTCCAAGTGAAAAAAACCAAAAAGGTTCGTTCGATACATCGCCCTCGCTTCTCTCTCACATTTTCGCTTCTTGAAAGTAAAGCACAGCGCACACAAATTTCAAGTCAATTTTATCTTTTCGAAAAAATAATACCGAATGAAAGATGCAAAAAATGAATAAATTAAGAAACGGAGGAAGAATAAATAAAATAGTGCGCTATGTTTTACTGGATTTAAACCCAGCGGGCTGTTTTTATAGAAAAATATTATAATACGGAGGATGTGGTGGTGGTGGTGGAACGAGTTCGGTGCGGATCTTCGCGGTGGCTTTTATTTAATTCCACACGCAAACGGAATACAGCTTACTGTCTGCAAATGTATGTTCCTAATAACATAGTTACAGTTAAACACATCGGGAATTACCGTAGGAAATGAATTAAAATTTGGAATATTCCAAGCAAGGACAAAACTTAATTGCACGAATTATTCAATGCGTTACGTGTATTTTCTAAAAGATTGCCTGGACAATAAATTCAGATACGGTTTTCACTGAGCATACGATTTCCTACGGTATCTCGATGTACTAATTAACATTTCCTCTACAAAGAATAAAATAAAAAAACAAAAAAAACATGCATAAGTACTAGCAACCGGTGAATGTGTCAGGTAATCTTCGCGGCGATGATCAGCACGGTATACGGGTTGGTGATGGTCGCGGTGATCGTCGCTATCGCGATTAACATCGCCCACGATGGTCTGCTGTCGCCGATCGCGATATTCCTAATGATGATAGTAGGCGAGTTCGTGATTGCTGCGTTACTGCATCCCTCGGAGATACAGTGCCTAATGCACTGCTTGATGTACTACATCACGGTGCCATCGATGTACCTGCTGCTTATGATTTACTCGATTTGTAACCTGGATAACATTACCTGGGGCACAAGGGAGGTCCAGATTAAGAAAACCCAAGCGGTAACTATCTGCACAACCGACTAATAATTCTAACAATTACAAATCGTTCTAATACGCTTGTCACCTTCCTTTTTTTACATAATTTTATTTAAAATTAACTTTTCATTAAATTTCTGCACACGTGGAATAATTAGAAGGTTACCTCGCTTCGATAGCGTAGCCCTTATTTTAGAATCTCTGCGATGAACGAATGTTAATGAATGAATAGGAACTTGAGCAAGAGAGAAAGGAAGCCGAGGAGGCGAAACGGAAGGCGAAGCAGAAGTCGTTGTTAGGATTTCTTCAGAATGGCGTCGGGACCAACGACGACGACGAAGGATCGATCGAGATCTCCTTAGCAGGATTGTTCAAGTGCATGTTTTGCACTCATGGGCAGGCGTCCAATGAAAAGCAGCAATTGGTCACCATTGCCGAATCTTTGGAGCAAGTCGGCAAACGTTTGGAAGCCATCGAAAGGTTTTTACATTATTTTTATACTATATCTCCCTAAACAAACAGTATTAGATTTTTAATTCCAAGTAAGNTATTTACACGTAAAAATAACATTTAATGATTCCTCTAATGATTTTCTATTACTGCAATTGGTAAACGCGTTTATCGAATGGTTACTACTTTTACTTCTTGACACTAGAAATTGCACCTGGTCAACTGGTTGCGCATGCTTTACACGAAACCAAGTTTAAATGTCACGTATTTCCTGGTTCGATCGGCACCAAACCTGGGAAGAAAGTTGTACGGAAAATTGCGACACATTCTTATTTACAACCTGCCTCGTCTTGCTTTAAGCAAGAGAGATTTCCCTACGTGTCGTGACTTAAAGGCAAATAGGAAAATAATTTATATTATATAACGTGTTACGTGCAATCAATCAAAATTTACTTTATAATCATGAACGAAGTAATAATAGGCTACGATTATGTAATAAGTGTTGCAATACTTTTGCCAATATAAATTTCAACGATAGGAAGAACGAATTCTTAAAGAAACAGTAATTAAAGTTTCGAATATCAAAAGTATCTATTTTTAATTATGCAATTAGGGCTGTGGATCCTCACGGGGTGACTGGCCGACGTCGTCCTTCGTCGGTGGGTTCTCGAACAGCGAATCATTTGCACGACATTAACGAGAACGAGAGCGAGCATCGAGGAGGGGAGAGCGAACCGGAAACGGATACTAGTCATAACACGGAAGGGAACCGGGAGGGTGGCAATTTCTTCAGCAGACCGTACTGGCTGAGCGACGATGGTCTGAAAAAGGGTGAAATAGACGTCTTGTCGATGCAGGAAGAGCAGTTTTGGAAGGACCTCCTCGAGAAGTACCTGTATCCCATTGACGAAGACGCGAAAGAGAAGGTAAGTAGTTTCAATTCCGAATTTTCTCGTTTTTTAAGTTAGGATCAGAGCAGAATGTTTTTTCTGTATTTTTATTAAATGTCGCCTTTTGAGAAACCAATTAATTTCCAATAAGTAACTATTTTCACATTGAAGATGAAGTCGTTTTGAGAAATTTTTATCGTAAATCATTTAAAAAATGTTTATCAAATATTCAGTATATGAGATATGATCAGGATAGTTTAGGATAATAATACTGATTTTATTCCAGTCATTACTGTAAGTAATTGAGACCTTACAATAAATACATTTTGCAGAAACAAATAATAAAATTAATCGTAAAATTCAAGTTTTTGAGAAACTAAATTAAAAAAGCATTTCATTATTATTTTAGTTTTTTATTTTAATAATACGCAATAGATTTCTATTATAAAATATTAAATATTAAAGTTAGAAGATAATTGTTGAGAAAAATTGCAGAGTAAAAAAGAAAGAAATCTCTTTTCTTGTCAAATTTTAATACATGAAAATAATCAACTGATTGCTACTTACGTCAGAATCGAGTTGCCAAAGATCTAAAGGACCTACGTGACAAGTGCGTGTTCGCGTTTTTTATGATGAACGCCCTCTTCGTACTGATCGTCTTCTTGCTGCAATTAAACAAAGATTTGTTGCACGTGAAGTGGCCATTCGGTATCAAGACGAACATCACCTTTGACGAAAATTTGGAGGTAAAGACCGCTCCGTCCAAGTCGCGTTGTCCCGCTCCTTCGAATCTCATTCCACCTACCCACAAGTAGAAACCGATAGGATTTAGGACACGTCAGCCATATAAATAGCCGTGCTGCTAATTGCGACTCTAGCTTCTCATGGGAAAATATTTATCGAAAAATTCCAAAAGATACGTGCATCAGCCGATATTTGCACTCTCGTTTTCATGGCAGAAGCTTCGTAGACAATAAACGATGGACCCTCCCGACAGCGGAAGGAGCCGACGGACCAACGGCCGACCGGACGGAGCGTATTTCTCTTCATACATTGCTAATATATGCTGTTTTCTTTTGTTCTTTTCCTGCTGTCTTCCTTCCCGTACTGCGACGTGTAGGCTCGCATCGCCGGCGACCTGATCGAGCTACGGAACAAGAGCGTGTTCGCGTTTTTTATGTCCAATGCGTTGTTCGTTCTGATCGTATTCTTGCTGCAGCTGAACAAAGATCAGTTGCACGTCGTCTGGCCTCTCGGCGTCAAGACGAATATCACCTTCATCGAAGAGACCTCGGAGGTACATGGTAGCGTTCCAAACGAAAGAAAAACAAATGAGAAAATGGGAACAGAGATGCTGTCTCACTGTTGCCTCGGGTGACTAACCACCTTTCGTGTGCTCCGTTGCTCTTTTCCTTCTTTTCTCTTTTTTCTCTCGTCCCCTTCGTCGGTCCACAGCGGCGAACGGTGAAAGATTTCTTGAAATCGACATTATCCCGTGAACCAGGAAAGAAAGTGACACGGTCAGATTCTGATACGAACAGATCGCATCGCTTTTTCATCAATTTTTCTTTGTGGGAGATCCCTGCTTTTACGGGCAATTTTTATAGACGCTGCGAATTGCTTAGTCGAGATGATAAAATTTTGAGTTTAGAGCTTCCATTTAGAAGTTAATAGAACCGGCTTTGCGACTCTGGAACTTTTTACGCGCGCCTCCAGCTTCTAATCTGGATTCGAGTCATAGGATTTTTGCTACGTAAGCTCCGTCTTCAAAACAGATCCTCAGCAATTTTCGTTCTTAGTAATCAGATAAGAAGTTCACGTATGAGTAAGATTAAAGTGTCATGTTAAAAAATGCTGAATTCTCTATGTAAATTAATTTGTTAATTCAATTTTTTAATTCGAACTATTGGCTTGTGAGGAGATTGCTGGGGATTAGAAACAGATAGGATTGCAGTGAGCATCGGAGCACGCTGGGAAATGAGAACGGTACCCGGTGATAATGTTGCACTGGCTGGGACATGTCTGTGTTTTGTCAATAACGGTGGATGATGAGCACACACGGCGAATTACCTATCATTAACAATGATTTGCACAGGTACACCCGGAAGCGAATGGAACACGCGGGGCAGAACCGAGCGAACGATTGTCTAGATATTAGTTTGGCTAAGTCACAAATAATATCCTAGTCTCGTTAACTGGAGTTCATCCTTATCCCTCACACATCCTTCTTTTATTTTTTATAATACCTCGTTGAAACGAAAAAACCAATCGTACAAGTTGTCACTCACACCATAACAAATTATATTTGTTGATTAACATTATCAAAGCTCATAGAATGAACGCAAAATTTTAATTGTATAATAAAATCAAAATGTCGACGATCTTTTTTGAAATAAATTGTTTTTAACGTTCTCTGAGCTTGTACATATTCTTCGGCTCTCTTGCATTGGTCTAATCCACTGATGAGAGTTTCCATTTATTGTCTTTACAAATAATAACAAATGTGCTAAGCGAAAGAGTCGAAGAATCTGAGAAGAACGGAGGGAGGAGCTGTCACACTGGTTTCTCACGTTTCTCATGTTTTTGTAATTGTTAATGCACTGCTAGGTATGACAGCAGAGGAGCACCACTAACGAGTTACCAATGTAACTAAACGGTGGCTTTTAAATGTGCCTTACAATTTTTTCTGTTCCTAATCGTACCGACGACCAAACTAGATTTAATCAATCTAGTCTATTTATAGAATTGAAATTTGAAAATGTTAAAAATGATTAAAATATATTCGTTGGGTACGTTTAGGATAATTGTTACTTCATTATGCACTTTAATCGTGCTAATAAAAGTGTTATAATTATGTCATAGTGAAGTAACAATGGCACACGATGAATCTAATACAACGTTAACTGTAATACTTTGTGTGTTTCTCTCCTCTATCTTCTTTCATATTTCATATCCAATTTGTTTATCAATGCTTCACGTAATAATAATAATTCTATTTCCTATGTAGGTACACATTACAAAGGAGTACTTACAACTCGAACCAATCGGTTTAGTGTTCGTGTTCTTCTTCGCGTTGATATTGGTTATTCAATTCACCGCGATGTTGTTCCATCGATTTGGAACGTTCGCTCATATCTTGGCCAGCACCAGCTTAGACTGTTGCAAGAAGGTACGTGACTTTTCACATAAAAATCATCCCAGTTATAATCCATCGTCATTATCAACTTAGTTATTAATTACTCTTCATCTTCAGACCAAGGACTTAACGGAGGAGGCGTTCTTAACGAAACACGCGGTGGACTTCGCGAAGAACTTACAAAGACTGGACGGTATCGAGGGCGATTATGAAGAAGGTAGTGGTAGCGGTCCAGGAAGAAGGAAGACTATAAGGAACCTCGAGAAGAGCCGCAGAAAAACGACGGCAATCAATACGCTTGACGTCGCTTTCAGGCATCGATTCTTCAGCATGTCCGAAGGCAATGGTATGTAAAACGGTTCATAAAAAGATATAAATAGCTATTTATAATAAAATGTCCAAGTACGTATTCGCAAATATTTCATAAATTCTAAATCTGTAAAATGTCACGATATAAACCGCGTAAGGATAGAACAATTTAATTAAGGGACTTAACATTACGGGATTAATTGCCTGGAATTAGGGCTGCCGAGGAATATGTCAACGAGAAGTTCCACGAAGGCTTTCAAGGCGTTCGAGGGACGCAGGAACAGTCTAATGGCGCGGAGGAAATCACAGATGCAAACCTTAGGGGCGAATAACATTTACGGAGTGGCTGGCAACCCTTTGGGGATTCAAGGCCGTCCATCGAGGAGTAGCCAGATTTCCGTAAAAGACGTGTTCGAAGGACACGGACACACGAATTCCGCCTACGAACCCGAGGAAAATATCAGCGGCAGCCTCAGACTTCAAAATCTAGGTCAGAACACGTGGCGCGAAGCGAACACCAACATCTGATATGGAAATCTTAAACGTACGTAATATGATAAATTAATCGTTTTTTATATTATAATATTATATTTAAATTTTTTGATTTTTCAGATGAATGATAATCATTTTTGAATTTCTATATGAAGACTAAAATCGAGACGTGGCTACGATGAATAGACAACAAGAGAAGTGACGACTTCGATCCATCCTCTGACTGCAAAGAGTATGAAAAGACTGTCCTTGAGTAAACTAATTTATGATGAAACGAACGCAACAGGGCCGTCTTTAAACTCCTTATTTATTTATTTAACAAAGAAGAAATAAAGAATAACAAAGTTCCTGTTTCCTACGAAAATCAGAGAAAACCTGATTAACAATCAACACGAATACAACTTCCTCAAGCCTTAAAAAAAAATTCTTGAGTTAAAGACAGTCCTGAGAGGAAACGTGATTTTCTTCTTTTTTTTTATACTCGTGATTAGTTACTTAAAATGAACGAACTGACCGGTGTACAGCAGATATTTCGCAGCGCAGTGACCGTACGATAGTTGACAATTCTAGATGTTAATTCCCTAAGCGTTAATTGACTGTAATAGTCGTATTAGCCTCGTGTCTATCAACGAGCATTGATATACGTTTTGACAGGCGTGTGATAGCAATCGCCGCGACGACGCTTACATTCCTTTCGCTCCTTGTAAACGTGATACATACCGCCGGTTATATATATATATATATATAAATATAGTTATTGTATTTAATGAAATATTGTAAGTTTTTGTACATATACATACCGCGTGCGTAACGTTGAGCCTGGCAGAAAAATCTTGTTGATTGTAAACGAAATAAAGCTCAAGCGATCGGCAGATTGTCTATTTATTTTATCCCACAACTTTGACTATTTACGAATTGTTTATAGAAAATCGTTAAAAATATAAGAAAATAATTCGAATGTATTTTATTATAAAAGTTTATTAATGATGTTTTAAAATTATTTTATGAGTCGAATAATGATTGTCGTAAAAAGATTCTAAAGAGTAAATTGAATTGAAGAGAAACACTATATTATATAAATATGGAAATATTAAGATACACTGGCTTGCCGAATCGCTTCGGTCATGCACATAATATAAGTAGCCATTAGGTAATCGTTGATGGTTCGTCGTATAGTCCAACCCTGATAGAAGCCTTCAGGTGCCATCGCCCAGTTCGTCAAAACCAACGGGTAATTAGCTACCATCGCGTAGTTGTTACCTACCAAGTATCTAAAAGAAATTATATGCACCCATTAATATTTTTAATTAAGGAATGTTTCGAATTATTCACGTACGCAAAATATCCACTGACTATCGCCCAAATTAGTACGTTGTATTTCGAATCGTACGGGTTGCTCGAATGAAACGGAGAATCGTGGAAGCGTATTTTCTCAATTTTCTGGAATCAACAATGGAAGAACTCCACTTAAAAAATGTTGAATATTTCATAATTATTAATTTCTAATCTAGCGAAGTTAATTAATTCTGTGAGAAATTTTTCATTCACTGTCGAAACGAGTATACCTCTGGTACTTCGGCGTTCATTCTGTACAATTTGACTATATCTAAAATCGATAAACCGGTGACAACGCAGATGCCAAGGATGTAGTATCCGTGACAAGAGTATAGGGAATAAATTAATCCGCCCATGCTCAATATCCCAAGAATCTCGTTTAGGACGTTCAATCTACCCATGTTCTTCTCCTCCTCTATCTCCATTAAAGTCGGGTCGATCACTGGAGAGGACGATAATTCAATTACAGTTTTCACCGTAATTAAAAATGACCAAATTAGCTTACTGTATTCCTTGACGAAGAGCTTGTACACGAGGACGATTAAGGATCGTGAACCGATGATCGCGATACCGGTGCAGGCACACGTGATGTGCATCATCAATTTCGAATATTGAGCGTACGAATGTTTGGTCAGGACGTAAATGGACGATCCACATGTTAGAAGTAAATTACAGCACGAGAAGATGGATTCCACTATCATAGGATCGTTTTCTTGTTAAATGATAATAGCCACCGGTTTCCAATTACCACTTTCAAAGTCAGACAGTTTGAGAAGAAATTTTACGACATCGATAGATATATTTAAGTATGCTCTTATGTTATAAATAAACATTATTACAAGAGTATGTAAAAACTTTTTCCAGCGCCGTTGACTGAATTGAACGAAGCAAGAAATGAGTATCTCAAAAAAAAAAACGATTTTCGATATGCAAATCAGAAATGGTTAAAATTGTTTACATCTGTCAAACTGTCAATATAGGAATTTTATTACTAATTTCATGTTCGCATGTGTGCACGACAGGTAAGTAATCGTTTCGTGGTTTTTTAGCCGTGTGAATCCTATCGAACGATATTGTTCATGAGCAACGGGTATCGATACGATCATTCAAATTAGTGTAATCGAGTAATCGATAATTGGCGCGATTAAGATCGGGACAAGATGAAAACTATTCGCACGATGCGCATAATCTAGCGAAGTTAATTAATTCTGTGAGAAATTTTTCATTCACTGTCGAAACGAGTATACCTCTGGTACTTCGGCGTTCATTCTGTACAATTTGACTATATCTAAAATCGATAAACCGGTGACAACGCAGATGCCAAGGATGTAGTATCCGTGACAAGAGTATAGGGAATAAATTAATCCGCCCATGCTCAATATCCCAAGAATCTCGTTTAGGACGTTCAATCTACCCATGTTCTTCTCCTCCTCTATCTCCATTAAAGTCGGGTCGATCACTGGAGAGGACGATAATTCAATTACAGTTTTCACCGTAATTAAAAATGACCAAATTAGCTTACTGTATTCCTTGACGAAGAGCTTGTACACGAGGACGATTAAGGATCGTGAACCGATGATCGCGATACCGGTGCAGGCACACGTGATGTGCATCATCAATTTCGAATATTGAGCGTACGAATGTTTGGTCAGGACGTAAATGGACGATCCACATGTTAGAAGTAAATTACAGCACGAGAAGATGGATTCCACTATCATAGGATCGTTTTCTTGTTAAATGATAATAGCCACCGGTTTCCAATTACCACTTTCAAAGTCAGACAGTTTGAGAAGAAATTTTACGACATCGATAGATATATTTATATATGCTCTTATGTTATAAATAAACATTATTACAAGAGTATGTAAAAACTTTTTCCAGCGCCGTTGACTGAATTGAACGAAGCAAGAAATGAGTATCTCAAAAAAAAAAACGATTTTCGATATGCAAATCAGAAATGGTTAAAATTGTTTACATCTGTCAAACTGTCAATATAGGAATTTTATTACTAATTTCATGTTCGCATGTGTGCACGACAGGTAAGTAATCGTTTCGTGGTTTTTTAGCCGTGTGAATCCTATCGAACGATATTGTTCATGAGCAACGGGTATCGATACGATCATTCAAATTAGTGTAATCGAGTAATCGATAATTGGCGCGATTAAGATCGGGACAAGATGAAAACTATTCGCACGATGCGCATGCAGATAATGATCCGGATCAGACTGATTGATAAGCATGCGTTAGCGGAGTGCAAGAAGAATACCAATGAACCAGCGTGATATGACGCTATGCAAAATATATTTCTCGCTGTGACTTGCAAGTTGACCGCGATGTTAATAATAACAGTAGCAAACGATTCAAACGTTCGCGCAGCAGACGTCACCGATAACCAACCACTGGTTTACCTCTCAAACAGTACCGCAACAAGAATGAACGACGACGCCGTTGTAAGTACCGATCGCGTTCAACGATCCGCGAGCATTGCCATTAATATTTGACAATTGATACATAACTTGTAATCTCGTCGACGATACTAACACCGATCAATCATAACCAATAATTGTGGCAATCGCTGTTAAGGATTAACGGTTCGGCGCGCGTGTAGATGAATTAGTATCACTAAGTAATATTGTATATTATAGAATGTTAATTTTTATACTACGGAAACAGCGAAAACGCCGGAAGAGGATGATAGTTTAACGTACCACGCGTATCGAGCCGGCTGCACCGATTTGTCGTCGATCCTTAAACAATGGCGGAATAATATATATGTACATAAGAACAATAACAGCGGTCCGGCGGCGGACGATTACCGCCGGACGCTTGATTACGATCTGGGATTAATGAATATCGAAGAGGCACGGTACAAACAATCGAAATCTGTTCCTATGAGGGATCACGAAGTCAGTTATCCTTATCCTTTCACAGATTACATTCATCCTCGGTTTTGCGCCGATTTTTCGCCTATAAGTAGTTACAGCAACCCCCATCGTCGACTCACGCGGAATCTAAAGTCGATCACGGTTAATTACGATTCGAATTTAAGCAACGGTCATCGGAAATTAAAAAGAAGAAGAGTTTCGAGATTATTGTCGTTCCCCTCTGAACCGGGAAGCTCGAACGGAAGTTCCACCGTCGACGATAACGAATCGGCGGTACGTTCCCGATTGCAAGATCACTGGAATAGAACGCTTTTACTACCGAGACTGATAGAAGTGTCGCGTGTGCAACGAAGTGGCACCAGCACGACGTTATCGCCTTTCACAAGCCGTAGTATAGACCTGAATCGAATACTGCGGTTGAATCTGATGCCTAAGAAGACGACCGGTTTCGTTAAAAAGAGGAGAAAAAGAAGGGACGTAAATGCGACGGGTGTGGATGGAAAACTTATTTATCCTGACACGTTTAAGATATTGTACACAACTGTACCTCCTGAATCTCAGTTAACTTATAATACCGAGTACCAAAGTGAAATAGACATGTTGCAAACGACGCGGAGCTGGTTAGACGAAAGTTCAACTGACGAAGTTGCTGACGAGGCCACTGAGGAATATCATGATAAAGAGTACGAAGATGAATATAGAGAAGCGTACGGTCAGTATGAAGAAGAAACAACAGGTAAGACTGTTGGTTGGTTCGAATATGATGAACGTGTTGGAACCATGACTATTTCAACAAAAAAGCCAATAGAAATTGCTACAGTGCCTCAAGTAACGACTACTGTGGAAGAAACAACTCCTGTAGCTGAAACTACTACTTTAGCCTCTACAACTACAGTGTCACCGATAACAAGAGTAATAGAAACTACTACAACTATAATCGAGACTACGATGACTCCTACGACTACTACAACCATTACGATACCGAAAGAAATCACTACGGAAAAAACAACAACCATCTCTATTACTACTATATTGCCAACAACTACGGAATCGACAACTCCGCTAAAAACGAGCCCAGAAACTACTACAACTACTACTGCTCCTACTACTACTTCTGTTACAACTATGGTCTTACCAACTATAACGGATCACTACAAAATAGCACAAGACGTACTAAGATATGAAGAAGCGGGAACTACAACCTCGTTGTCACCAACGACAGTTCCTGCGTCTACGATAGTAACTACAGTAGCAGCCACCACTGTGAAGGAAACGACGATATTTACAACATCAACGTCAGAAACGACAAGTGAAAGTACTACAGAAATTGCCACTACGACTCCGACGTTCACGACCACAACGGAAGCAGAAAGTACAGTAGAAGAGACGACAAGGGAAGTAACAACTACTACTTCAGTACCAGAAACAACGACTGAAATTACTACGACAGAGGCTGTAACTACCATTGCAGCTACGACGACAATGAAAACGACAAGAGAAATTACAACTACAAGCCCATTACCAACAACTCCGATTCTTACTGAAACTCCTACGACAGCAATTAAAACATTGCCAACAACTACAACGTTGAAAACAACAACGATAGAAGAAACCACTGGGGAAGAGACAACGTTCAGTGAAACACCGTCAGTACGAACTGCGACGGAAATCACTACCACTGCTGTTCCTACTACTACACCTATAGAGGAAACCACAACTGAGGAAAGCATAGTAACTACAACTACTTCGGTGGAAACCACGACCACAGCAATTACAACTGCGGCTCCTACGACCACTATGAGCATAACAGAAACCACAACTGAGGAAATTACAGTAACCGCGACATCGACAGTAGAAACCACGACCGAATCAATCACAACTACGGTTCCTACTACCACTACGCCTGTAACAGACACCACAACTGAAGAAATTACAGTAACCACGACATCAACTGTGGAAACAACGACCAAACCAATTACGACAGTTTTTACTACCACTACGCCTGTAATAGAAACCACAACTGAGGAAACGGCAATAACCACGACATCAACTGTGGAAACAACGACCAAACCAATTACGACAGTTTTTACTACCACTACGCCTGTAATAGAAACCACAACTGAAGAAACGACAATAACCACGACATCAACTGTGGAAACGACGACTGAACTAATTACAACGACCGCTCCTACTACCATTATACCTGTAACAGAAACCACTGTTAAAGAAACAAGTACAACTCCATCGGCGGAAACCACGAGCGAAGCCACTGCAACTACTACGACAGTAGTAGAAACTACCACTGAAGCGACGACATTAATTACAACACCTTCGGAAGAAACTACTCCAACCACTGTTCCTACGACTACTATCAGTACAAAAGGAACCACGACTACGATAATTGCAACGTCAACAGTCGAAACTACTCCGGAGGAAACTACGATATCTACAACTGCAATTCCTACTACGACTCAAACTGTAGCAGAAACCACTACTGAAGAAAGTACAATAACTACAACTATAATTCCTACTACGATTACAACTGTAACAGAAACCACTACGGAAGAAACTACAATAACTACATTTACAATTCCTACTAGGAGTTCAACTATAGCAGAAATTACCACGGAAGAAATTATAATAACTACAACTACAATTCCAACGACTACTACGACGGCCATAGTCATGACTACAGAGGAGACAACATTAACTACCACAACTTCAATAGAAACCACGATAGAAGTTACAACTACAGTTCCTACTATTACTTCAACTGTAGTTGAAACCACCACTGAAGAAACTACAATAACGTCGGTGGAAACTACGGCCGAAATCACAACTGTAGTTCCTACGACTATTACGATGGTAGAAGAAACAACTGCTGAAGAAACTACAATAACTACAACTTCGGCACTGGAAACGACAGTAGAAATCACTACGACTAGTCCGCCGATAGTGACAACTACAACTGAGGCTACAACATTAATTACTTCAACATGGATCGAAACTACGACAGAAATCGTTAGAACTACAGTTCCTGTGATTACTACAACTATGATGATAACTGAGTCCACTATAACAAGAGCTCCTACGACTATTACAACGGCAGTGGCGACTACCACAGAGGAGACAACATCGCCGGTGAGAACTACGACAGAAATCGAGACGACCACAGTATCTCTAACTCCTACAACTATGCTAGTAACCGAAGTCATTACGACTAGAATTCCTACAACTACTACGGCGGTAGTTACAACCACTACTGAAATTACGCCAACGGTGGAAACTACCATCGAAACCACTACCATTACAATTCCTACTACTACTACATCTGTGATAGAAACTACGAAAGAAGAAACGACGATAACTACACCATCCACGGAAACTATCACTGAATCTACAACAATTACAGTTCCTGTTACCACTGCAACCGTAACGGAAACTACGGCGGAAGAAACTACGATAACTACACCATCGCCGGAAACTACCACCGAAACTACTACAATTACCGTTCCTGTTACAACTACACCTGTGACAGAAACTGCAGAAGAAGAAACTACGATAACTACACCATCGCCAGAAACTACGACTGCAATTAGTACAATTACGATTCCTACTACCATTACAACCGTGGCTGAAACTACAGCAGAAGAAACAACAATAACTACAACATCGCCGGAAACTACCACCGAATCTACTACAATTACAGTTCCTGTTACCACTACAACCGTAACGGAAACCACGGAAGAAGAAACTACGATAACTACGACTTCGTCGCCGGAAACTACCACCGAATCTACTACAATTACAGTTCCTGTTACCACTACAACCGTAACGGAAACCACGGAAGAAGAAACTACGATAACTACGACTTCGTCGCCGGAAACTACCACCGAATCTACTACAATTACAGTTCCTGTTACCACTACAACCGTAACGGAAACCACGGAAGAAGAAACTACGATAACTACGACTTCGTCGCCGGAAACTACCACCGAATCTACTACAATTACAGTTCCTGTTACCACTACAACCGTAACGGAAACCACGGAAGAAGAAACTACGATAACTACGACTTCGTCGCCGGAAACTACCACCGAATCTACTACAATTACAGTTCCTGTTACCACTACAACCGTAACGGAAACCACGGAAGAAGAAACTACGATAACTACGACTTCGTCGCCGGAAACTACCACCGAATCTACTACAATTACAGTTCCTGTTACCACTACAACCGTAACGGAAACCACGGAAGAAGAAACTACGATAACTACGACTTCGTCGCCGGAAACTACCACCGAATCTACTACAATTACAGTTCCTGTTACCACTACAACCGTAACGGAAACCACGGAAGAAGAAACTACGATAACTACGACTTCGTCGCCGGAAACTACCACCGAATCTACTACAATTACAGTTCCTGTTACCACTACAACCGTAACGGAAACCACGGAAGAAGAAACTACGATAACTACGACTTCGTCGCCGGAAACTACCACCGAATCTACTACAATTACAGTTCCTGTTACCACTACAACCGTAACGGAAACCACGGAAGAAGAAACTACGATAACTACGACTTCGTCGCCGGAAACTACCACCGAATCTACTACAATTACAGTTCCTGTTACCACTACAACCGTAACGGAAACCACGGAAGAAGAAACTACGATAACTACGACTTCGTCGCCGGAAACTACCACCGAATCTACTACAATTACAGTTCCTGTTACCACTACAACCGTAACGGAAACCACGGAAGAAGAAACTACGATAACTACGACTTCGTCGCCGGAAACTACCACCGAATCTACTACAATTACAGTTCCTGTTACCACTACAACCGTAACGGAAACCACGGAAGAAGAAACTACGATAACTACGACTTCGTCGCCGGAAACTACCACCGAATCTACTACAATTACAGTTCCTGTTACCACTACAACCGTAACGGAAACCACGGAAGAAGAAACTACGATAACTACGACTTCGTCGCCGGAAACTACCACCGAATCTACTACAATTACAGTTCCTGTTACCACTACAACCGTAACGGAAACCACGGAAGAAGAAACTACGATAACTACGACTTCGTCGCCGGAAACTACCACCGAATCTACTACAATTACAGTTCCTGTTACCACTACAACCGTAACGGAAACCACGGAAGAAGAAACTACGATAACTACGACTTCGTCGCCGGAAACTACCACCGAATCTACTACAATTACAGTTCCTGTTACCACTACAACCGTAACGGAAACCACGGAAGAAGAAACTACGATAACTACACCATCGCCAGAAACTACGACTGCAATTAGTACAATTACGATTCCTACTATCACTACAACAATGGCTGAAACTACGACCGAAGAAAGAACGATAACTACAACATCGCCGGAAACTACCATCAAAACTACTACGATTACGGTTCCTGTTACCACTACAACAGTGACAGAAACTACGACAGAAGAAACTACATTTACTACGGGATTACCGGAAACGACAACTGAAAGTACAACTGAGGAAACTACAACATTATCACCTGAGATAACGACCGAAGCTATTACCACTTTGGCTACTGTTGCTACAAGTTTGTTAATTCGAACTACAATGAAATTCACAGAATATAGACCGTTAATAACGGAGACAATCGCTGTACTTGAAACTCAAACGATGACGACGGAAGAAGTGACTGCAGAAATAGAAGAAACCACTGATAAAGAACTAGAAGAAGAATACAAATTAGCGTATGAGGAATATGAAGAAGGAACTACTGAAGAATATTCTTGGTCCGATTACGAAGGTCTTGATATTACGACGACCACCATAGAAAAAACAACCGTGCCGCCTGTTACATTCGCAATTACATCTCCAATGACGACATTGTTAGAAACCACGACAAAAGAAGTAACGACAATTCCATTGCCGGTAGTGACGATGGAAATTACTACAATTGGAGTGATCACCACGACGTCACCCATCACAACAATGGTTGAAACTACCACAGAAGTTATTATAACTACTACTTCGTTGCCAGTAACAACTACAGAGACTCCCACAACGGAAGTACCTACGACGACTACAACTACAATATTGCCGACGACCACAGAAGAAATAACAACGTCCAGTCCGTGGCTTATAACGACGACCGAGACTACAACGTCTGTAATCCTTTCTACTACGTCGTCAACAATTACGACTGTGGAAACCACCACGGAAGAACCGATAGTAACTACAACTCCGTTATTAATAACGACTACAGAATTTACTACCATGACTTCGATATTACCAACCACAGTGACGACGGAAACCATCGCGGAAGAAACGCTGATTACTACATCAGTAATAGAAACCACAATTGAAACTACATTTGAAGAAAAGACAGAATCGACTACTCCGTACTTTATAACGACAACTGAACCATGGCTTACAATAACTACTGTTCCCGTCTTTACACCAACTGTAACGACAACAGAAATTACTACTGAAGAGGCAACATCATCAACGCTGTCGCCTACAACAACCGAAAGTACTACTGAAGAATTAATTACTACTGCAGAAGGTATAGAAACGAGTACAACAGCAACAACTACTGAAAGTACTGTAGCAATTATTACTACGATGATGTCACCACCGACGACGGTCTTTATTACCTCTGAAGAAGTAACAACGCCTGAAATAGTAACGAGTACAACGGAAACAAGTACTGAAAGTGCTATAACTATTACCATCACGACGCTATCACCTCCAACGACAGCATTTATTACCACTGAAGAGGTAACATCGCCAGAAGAAGTAACGAGTACAACAGAAATGACGTCCGAAAGTACTGTAAGTCCTGTTACTACAACAATTACACCACCGACGACGGTCTTTATTACCACTGAGAAAATAACAACGTCAGAGTCAACAACGAGTACAGCAGAAATAACAACCGAAAGTACTTCAACTTCTATTAGTACGACAACGATATCACCTCCAACGACGGTATTTATTACTACTGAGGAGATGACATCGCCAGAAGAAGTAATAACTACAGAAACAACAACTGAAAGTACTGTAAGTCTTTTTATTACGACAATATCGCCTCCAACCACAGCGTTAACTACGACTGAGGAAGTAACAACGTCAGAGTCAACAACGAGTACAGAAGAAATAACGACCGAAAGTACTGTAAGTCCTGTTACTACAACAACGATATCACCACCAACGACGGTATTTACTACCACTGAGGAAGAAACAACGTCAAAGTCAACAACAAGTACAGAAGAAATAACGACCGAAAGTACTTTAACTTCTGTTACTACAACATCCATATCACCACCGACGACGGTCTTTATTACCACTGAAGAAGTAACAACGCCTGAAACAGTGACAAGTACAACGGAAACAAGCACTGAAAGTACTGTAACAATTACGACCACGACGATATCACCTCCGACTACGGTAATAACTACCACTGAAGAGGTGACAACGTCAGAAGAAGTAACAAGTACAACAGAAATGACGACCGAAAGTACTTTAACTCCTGTTAGTACAACAACGATATCATCACCAACGACGGTATTTACTACCACTGAGGAAGAAACAACATCAGAGTCAACAACGAGTACAGAAGAAATAACGACCGAAAGTACTGTAAGTCCTGTTACTACAATAATAACATCACCACCAACGACGGTATTTACTACCACTGAGGAAGAAACAACGTCAGAGTCAACGACGAGTACAACAGAAATGACGACCGAAAGTACTTTAACTCCTGTTAGTACAACAACGATATCATCACCAACGACGGTATTTACTACCACTGAGGAAGAAACAACATCAGAGTCAACAACGAGTACAGCAGAAATAACAACCGAAAGTACTTCAACTTCTATTAGTACGACAACGATATCACCTCCAACGACGGTATTTATTACTACTGAGGAGATGACATCGCCAGAAGAAGTAATAACTACAGAAACAACAACTGAAAGTACTGTCAGTCTTTTTATTACGACAATATCGCCTCCAACCATAGCGTTAACTACAACTGAGGAAGAAACAACATCAGAATCAACGACGAGTACAACAGAAATAACGACCGAAAGTACTTTAACTCCTGTTACTGCAACAACGATATCACCACCAACGACGATACTTATTACCACTGAGGAAGAAACAACATCAGAGTCAACGACGCGTACAACAGAAATAACGACCGAAAGTACTTTAACTCCTGTTACTTCAACAACGATATCACCACCAACAACGATATTTACTACCACTGAAGAAGTAACAACGCCTGAAACAGTGACAAGTGCAACGGAAACAAGCACTGAAAGTACTGTAACAATTACGACCACGACGATATCACCTCCGACTACGGTAATAACTACCACTGAAGAGGTGACAACGTCAGAAGAAGTAACAAGTACAACAGAAATGACGACCGAAAGTACTGTAAGTCCTGTTACTACAACAACAATATCACCTCCAACGACGGTAGTAACTACCACTGAAGAGGTGACAACATCAGAAGAAGTGAGAAGTACTACGGAAACAACTCCTGAAAGTACACTAACTTCTACCACTACGACGTTATCACCACCAACGATAATTGAAACAACCGAAATTCCGACGTTTACATCTCCAGTTACAACCGAAGAACCTCTTATAACCACCATTTCAACCTCTGTAATAACTGAATCTACGATTATTGAATTGGTAACAACTACCACAGTAATTCCGACCGAAATTACAACTTTCCCTACCACTATGGCGACGACTGTAACTGTTAGTGAAACGTATATGCCCACCACTGAAATGATAACCGGTATAACATTAGCAATTCAATCTTTTACACTTTCAAGTTTTAAAGGATTGTTTACGAAACCCTAATTAAATTTATAGTTTACACAACTACGGAGTTTACTACCGAGATTGAAATTACCACGATCTCAGCGACGTTCATGACGGAAACTGAGTCTGAAACGACGACCGTCGAGATCACGACCGAAAGTATCATTCCCGAAAGCACAGAGTCAACAAGCGAGTTTACTACAGAGTTATCCGTACCCACTACCAAGGTTCTAATGTTAGCGCCAACTACCGTTTATGTCCCTCCTGCGTTGCCTCCAATACTAGAAGAAGAAGAAGAGAAAGAAATACTAATGATCACTACAACTGAATTAGTAAGGAACTTTCGTCTCCTATAATAGAAGAAATATATTTGAGAACAAATATCTAAACATATATTAAGATTATCAAGCAGATTAGCTTACAATATGAAATTGTTCTTCAGATCACAACAGAATTGACGATACTTGAGTTAACGTCGCCATCGGAAACTACGTTACCAGAATATATTACTGCGACGTTTCGTGATATAGGATATGAGGAGTATAAAGAAGAATACAAAGAAGAGGAGGAGGAAGAGGAAACTGGAACACCAGGGTGGTTCGAGTACGAAGAAGGAATCACTAAAGCCATTACCACACCTGCGACAATAGAGAAGACCACAGAGTTAAAATACACTACAACTACGTCCACGACGATAAGTACAACAGAAACGAGTACAGTGACCACGGAATCTACTACAGAAATAGAAGTTACGATGACAGAAGTACCTACAATTGAAATTACTACTACTGGAATTATTACCACGACTACTGAAATTTCGCCAGCTACCACAGAAAGTACTACAGCGATAATAACGCCACCCTCTACTGAAAGTACGACGAAAACTTCCCCAGTTGCTACGGAAAGTACAACTGCATTTACTACCACGAGTACGAAAACTACGGAGAATATCACGACAGTGATTTCTCCGACTACTACGGAGAGCACAACCATGATAATCTCTCCAGTTACTACGGAGAGCACTACAGAAACTGTAAAAACTACTACAGAGAGCACTACAGAAACTGTAAAAACTACTGCAAAGAGCACTACAGAGATTATAAAAACTACTACAGAAAGCACTACAGAAACTGAAAAAACTACTACAGAAAGCACTACAGAAACTGAAAAAACTACTACAGAAAGTACCACTGTCGAGACCACAGAATCTACGGCAAGAACTACCCCTGTTACTGAGGAGATAATCATTACTAATGTCACGGAAGTAACTGAGGTAACGACTACAGTAATCACAACGGAAGTCACAGTTTCCCCAACTGAGATCACAGAAACAACTACCGAAACTCCGTTTATTACAACGGAAACATTAGAAGTCACATCTGCATTTATAACAACAGCGCCTGTTAATGTAACAACAACAAAAATTGAGACAACACAATTTCCTCCAGCGACGACTTCCGTTGAAATCACTATTGCGACTACGGAAACTGAAGTCACAACTACTACTGTAGTTACTACATTGGAAACAATGACAGTTAACGAAACGACGGAAATAACTTATACTACTTTGAAACCAGAAACAACGTTAGTTACACCTCCGACCATAACGGAAGTAACTGGAACTACGTTTGCTACTACTGCAACAACTGAATTGACTGAAATTACAATTCTAACTACGGAATCGTTACCAATCAATGTAACTACGGAAACGCCAGAATCTACAACTGCAACAACGGAAATAGTAATTACAAGTACGGAAGCGACAGTCTCTGTCGAGATAGAAACTACTATAGTAATTCCTGAAACTACAAACGTAACTATGGAAATTCCGGTTACAACTACCACGGAAAGAGTGACTACGCCAACTGAAACTACCGTAGCTGCCAAAACTACTCCGCACATTATTAAAGTTACAAACATAACTACGGAGACTCCAATTACAACAACAGAAACAATGATAACTAGTACAACGATTGAAACAACTCTGCCTGTGGAGGTGAAGACTACTCCACGTATTATTGAAGTTATGAATGTAACTACAGAAGCTCCAGTTACGACAGAGGTAGCTACCCCAACTACTGAGACTACTGTATCTAAAATTGAAGTCTCTCCTTATGTCACTGAAGTTACAAACGTAACTACGGAAGTTCCTGTTACAACGATGACAGCGATACCCACTGTTACAACAACTGAGATGACTGCGTCTGTCGAAACGACTGCTTATGCTACTGAAGTTACGAACGTAACTACGGAAACTCCGATTACAACTACGACAGAAACGATACCTACTGTTACAACTATTGAGATGACTGTGTCTGTCGAAACGACTGCTTATACTACTAAAGTTACGAACGTAACTACAGAAGCTGCAGTTACAACAGAGATTGTTACCACAACTACTGAGACTACTGTATCCTCATTTGAAACGTCTCCTTATGTCACAGAAGTTACAAACGTAACTACGGGAATTCCTGTGACAACCACGACAACGGTATCTACTGTTACAACGACTGTGTCTGTCGAAACGACTGCTTATACTACTGAAGTTACAAACGTAACTACAGAAACTCCTATTACAAGTACGACAGAAATAAGTACCACTACTGAAAGTACTGTATCTGAAATTGAAACCTCTCCTTATATCACTGAAGTTACAAACGTAACTACGGAAGTTCCTGTGACAGCCACGACAACGGTACCTTCTGTTACAACGACTGTGTCTGTTGAAACGACTGCTTATACTACTGAAGTTACAAACGTAACTACAGGAACTCCTATTACAATTACGACAGAAATAAGTACCACTACTGAAAGTACTGTATCCGAAGTTGAAACGTCTCCTTATGTCACAGAAGTTACAAACGTAACTACGGGAGTTCCTGTGACAGCCACGACAACGATACCTACTGTTACAACGACTGTGTCTGTCGAAACGACTGCTTATGCTACTGAAGTTACAAACGTAACTACAGGAACTCCTATTACAACTACGACAGAAATAAGTACCACTACTGAAAGTACTGTATCCGAAGTTGAAACGTCTCCTTATATCACAGAAGTTACAAACGTAACTACGGAAGTTCCTGTGACAACTACGACAGCGATACCTACTGTTACATCGACTGTGTCTGTCGAAACGACTGCTTATGCTACTGAAGTTACAAACGTAACTACAGGAACTCCTATTACAAGTACGACAGAAATAAGTACCACTACTGAAAGTACTGTATCTGAAATTGAAACCTCTCCTTATATCACTGAAGTTACAAACGTAACTACGGGAATTCCTGTTACATCCACATCAGCGATAACTACTGTTACAACGACTGTGTCTGTCGAAACGACTGCTTATACTACTGAAATTACGAACGTAACTACAGAAACTCCTATTACAACTACGACAGAAATAAGTACCACTACTGAAAGTACTGTATCCGAAGTTGAAACTACTGCTTATATCACAGAAGTTAAAAACGTAACTACGGGAGTTCCTGTGACAGCCACGACAACGGTACCTACTGTTACAACGACTGTGCCTGTCGAAACGACTGCTTATACTACTGAAGTTACAAACGTAACTACAGGAACTCCTATTACAATTACGACAGAAATAAGTACCACTACTGAAAGTACTGTATCCGAAGTTGAAACTACTGCTTATATCACAGAAGTTACAAACGTAACTACGGAAGTTCCTGTTACAACGACTGTGTCTGTCGAAACGACTCCTTATCTTACTGAAGTTACGAACATAACTAGAGAAACTCCTATTACAACTACGACAGAAATAAGTACCACTACTGAAAGTACTATATCCGGAATTGAAACGTCTCCTTATGTCACCGAAGTTACAAATGTAACTACGAAAGTTCCTATTACAACGACTGTATCTGTCGAAACGACTCCTTATCTTCCTGAAGTTACGAACATAACTAGAGAAACTCCTATTACAACTACGACAGAAATAAGTACCCCTACTGAAAGTACTGTATCCGAAATTGAAACATCTTCTCATATCACCGAAGTTACAAACGTAACTACAGAAACTGCAATTACAACAACAGAGGGAGTAACAACAGAATCAATCGAAACGACGATATCTGTCGAGATTGAAATCACATCTCCTATAATCGAAGTTACAAACATAACTCTAGAAACTTTGTCCACCGAAGTAGAAACGATTGGGGTTAACGTAACTACCGAGCGTATGGAGACGATAAGTGTTCCCACCGAAGTAACTACGCCTGTTACCACTGAGGAACTTATAACGACGTTCGCCGTAGTTACATTGGAAAACGAGACTATATCTCCTGAAATAGAATTAACGACGTTCACAACGCCCACCATCTTTACCACAGAATCAGTTTATATTACAACGCCTACGGTATTGATTATCGAAGAGGAAGAAAATATAACTATGGTTGCAACCGAACTGACGTTTACTACTTTGTCAGCGGAATACGTCGTTACCCCCAATTTCACCATACCAATAATTACAAGCGAGATACCTTTGGTCTTGGAAACTACGACACCGATGATACTAGAAGTCAACGTCACAACTCCGGTGCCTGTTGCGGAAGTTACAACTATTACGGAATCGACAATGGAATACGTAACGCCTGAAGTTCCAATAGAAAATGCTACGCTTTACACCGGGCCTTTGATAGTCACTGGGATTACTGCGATGAATGCAACGCTGCCGGAAATAGAAGTGACGCTTTTTAGCACTACGGAAACTGTCACGATCACACCATTTATTACAACGACTGAGGAAGCCGAGACTGAATTCATGTATGATCTTGAAGTAGGTAAGGAATACAAAGAGGAGTACGAGCTCGAAGAGAATATCACTACTACCACAAAAGAGATGTTCGAGTATGAATTTGAGGAAATGAATGTCACAACGCCTTCAACCCCTGAGATTGAATCCACCGCAAGCACATATATAGAAACAATAGAGTCCACGACTTTTAATGTCTCGGAGATCAGGGAAGAGATAACAGTTTCTACAGGGGAGACTGAAACTACGTTTGAGACCGAATTGATTGAGGAAAAAATCCTCAATTACACCACTTCGAGGTTCACTCTGGCGCCCACCAACGAATTTTCCACGGAATATTTGCCACTCGATTACGGTGAGAATTACACGAGAAAGAAGGAATTCACTATAACGTTCGGTCCGACGATACCTCTCCGTCTTCCGAACGTGACTGCAACGATGGCACCAGAATTGTATCCGACTTTTATCTCAACTACTTTTCACCTAAGAGGAACGACGAATAAACAGCAAAAGGATAATCGCCACAAGGAAATGAAGATCAAACTGCTACACAAATTACAAGACCTGCAGAAGATGGAAGAGGAAATTCTTATCAAAGAAGAAGAGTTGCAGAAGGAGGAAGAGGCATGGGAAACTGAAAAAGCGAGACGAATGGAGGAGTTCATGAAGAAAGTGGAGGCAATGAAAAGCGGTCGCATGAATATATCCATAACTAAGACGACCACTTCGGTAGGTAAATTACCGCCAGTTGAAGGCGAGAGAGGCAAGACTCCTGTAACAATATCTCCACCTACGGCTCCTTTAATCACGACTCCCGAAATTTCAACACCGGATGCACTGGAGCAGGAAATCAGACATTTGGAAAGCAAAGTGTCTGATAAAGAGGATCATTTGAAGAATACGGAAAACAGGATACTTGAGAAGGAGAAGAAACTGCTTAAAGACAAAGAAGAATTCGAGAGGAAGATGAAAGAGATGGAGGAGAAATTGGCCAGGGGAGAAGATATCTCGTGGACGACGAAAGAACCTTACGTAGGAACGACTCGTACGACGCCGTCTTACTCACAGTTACCGCCTACAGAAAGAACCACGATTGATATACGAGAGTCGACTATATCCCCGGTTAAGGAACCGACTCGCTCCCGCGAGGAACAAAAGAAAGAGGAAAAGAATTTAGAAGTGACAACCCAGGTTTGTTTGGACGTCCTCAAGAGCAAAGAAATGGGAGAAGGTCATATAACCGAAAGGGTTTGCGTGCCTTACGTGCCGGGGAAAGCTCAGGAGAAACCGAAAATTAAGCCCCCAGAGGCCAGGACACTCGGGGAATTGGACCTTGAGGGGAACGAGTGGACGGAGGGCCCTTTTATAAGGGGCCGAGGAGAAGTGCAGACTGAAATTATTGAGTCCGAGGAAGAGAGGAAAAGATCATTGCCTGAATATACTCGATTCAAACGAAACGTTTATCACGAGGATCACGACTGTCGAGTAGACAAGCTTGACGACTGGGACACAGAAGGAAACTTGGTGGAAACACAAATCAGGGAACCATTATCTTTATGTAAAAATTGTAGCTTTCCTACAGACAGTTTTATGATCACTGAAATGTCTAAACCTAGTACAAACACAGAATCCGTTGAAAGGAGATATGAAAGAACTGTCGAGAATAGATATAGGATTCGATCCACGTTACAAATAAATCAGTGCGAGGATGAAATTGAATACGATTACGAGGAACAAGTTGAAAGGAATCCACGACAAGTGGAGGAAAGCACTTCGCCTTGGGAACCGGAAGCTACTACCAGCGACGATGACGTTATACCTGTAACAGACAAACCATACAAGCCTGCGGAAGAAGGGAAAGAAGAGGTGGAAGAAGGAGAGGTCGAGAGTGATCAGACTATAAAACAATCGAGTGGAGATACAGATGAAGACGAAGATAAACCTGAAGGTGCATTAATTTAAAAAATACAATTATAAATAAATTATTTAATACCGCAAAACTTTCATACATTAATCAGTAATACAAATTATGGAATTAAAGAAGATTAATTGATTTCTAGTGGAGGTGAAACGCAGGAGACCGCCGGGTCCGGAATGGCCAACGGAAGGCTTAACTGATTACCACGTGGGCGGCACGAAAACGTGGATGCTCGAGTATGACGGACGAGGGCCGTTCAAGCCCGAGAACGGGGATGAAGACGAGGGGAATTCCGTGGAGGACAGGAAAAGCGTTGGGAAACGGCCACTAAAGGCGACGACTTGTTACTATGTTATTCTTGACAGAGACGAAAACAGTCTGGAAAATCCTGAAGGCGATTACGACAAAGAAAATGATTTTGAATCATCGTTGGAGAAATACGCTCCAGAAGCGGATGAGTGACTCAGACGTAGATAAGAGTGTACAAATTTTATGGTAAATATTGCTGCTAAACGGAAGAGCAGTAATCGCAGTTTTTATTTTTGTCTTTTTAATCACATATTAGTCAGAAACAGTAGAAGGATATTATAGATAAATGAAACAGCAGTAAGATGCGACAAGTAATATAAAAACCGTTGTAAGATTTGTAAATATGTATATACAGCGTGTAAAAGAGTACATTAATAAATTCAATTAGAAAATTCATTTTAATCCGAGGCCACTTAAGTGGGCTTAATCTGTTAGCTACACAACCCGAGGTGTTATCGCTGCTCCCTAATCTGTTTGATTAATTCTTTCGCGGTGGCCAAGCGTTGACCGCGCAGCCTCTTTAACCGGAAATTCAGAGTGGTCTTTAAATACTCGCTCGGACTGATAGCGGAGTTTATCTTCCTTGAAAACGGTTTATTCTTAATTATAAACTCGTTACACGTTCGTCGGGAAAGAAAGGGAACGGGAACGAGGAATGAAAGATTCCCTTTCGAACTGATTTGATATCAAAGATCACATCTGAAAGTAATCGTTAATTCACTTAAGTATTATCAGATACATAAGAGAGCTCACCTTAATGAGAAAATAATTATTTAATTTATTTATAAA